TTTCGTTTCGTTTTCGAGACGCTTTCGATCGTTTTCGATAGCCTGATCATTTTTCTCGTGACGTGGACAAGCTCCTCGTGCGTGCTCGCAATTTCCTCGAGATTCTTTCTATATTTATACTCTACAAATCCTTACCTTTCTTCCTTTTTTATTTTTTATTTCTTTTTTTTTTTTTTTAACAAACCTTGGAACGAGTTTTTAAAAGAAGACGGTCCTTTAAATTTACGGGAAAAAATTTACAAGTTTAATGCTCGTTCGATATCCTCGTGATCTTGTTTTTACAAAATAATCTTAATTAATTTCGCGCGAATATTAATAATTATTGAAATTATTGAATCGTTACAAGGTCGAAAAGATAATTTTTTCCAATATTGGTGAGCTCGCAGAATTCACCTGTCCACTGTATTTGTTCGAACGAACTAGATTCGAAGAATTTAAGGTAGGTATCGCCTGAGACACAGTCAAACATTTACCGCTAAGCTATATAATACATATTTTTAGGAGGAGTTAAAGAAACAGAAGAGGAACAGGAAATGGTAAGGAACGCAACAGGAGAAATTCAGCGGGAGGAAATTAAGAGTGGGGAGGGGGATGATTCAGCCCATTTATGACTGGCCAATCGTCGATCTTTGATCATCTCCTCATCATCACCAGTATCATCGCCAATATAATGAAATATATCTTTTGATTAACACGAACAAAATTTCTACCATGCTTGCATAAATGGGTGAACGATTGCGTAAAAATCATTCTGGACGCGTGTGTTCGTTTTAATTGGAACCTCTTATCCAGAATGATTGCGACGCCAATTTAAAAGTGAATTTTATTATTTTCTCCTTTTTTTTTCTCCTTTTTCCTTTCTTTTTTCTTTTTTTTTCTTTTTTTTTTTTTCATTTTTTCATTCTCAGTCTTCGAAATCTGTAGTACGAAAATAAAGTCGTCGAAGAGGTTTTTGAGTTCAGCGGGAATCGCTCGATTGATTTGTGGTCGCAGCCCAAAGAGGATGGATCTATTATGCTGCCATGAAACCGGAATCGGAACAGGTAGCGTTGTCGTACGAACGTTACTGTTACACGCCCCCTTGAAACCTCGGACACCCTTAATTTGTACTTTAACACGAGGATACCTGATTGCCGTGACAGTGATGGCCTCGTAATCA